AAAAAAAAAAAGACAGAAACTGCATGACATAATAATAATAAAAAACAATACATAAATAAAGACTAAGTCATTCAAACGATCGAAGTAACATCCCTTTATTTTTAGATTCTATATATCTTTACAGGTACTTTTTAATAATCATACGATAAACTGCATATTAATGAATTTCCCCACAATAGTGACAATAATTCGATTTACGTTTATTAGATTTCTTTCTTGGCAAGGGCCTGTAGCAGGATTGCGAGCATGTATCTTTGTAGGATACAAAATCATCAACATAGTTTATTGAGTTTAATTTTAGATATTTTAAACATCAGCTGCTTAGTGATATGTAGTAAACGTACCCTGTTTTCCTGAGCCCGAATTATGACGTTGTGAAATTGCACATACGCATTACCATGCAACGCATCCCTTAATTCTAAATATCTACGGCTCTTTTAAAAAATATTGTTTTATCCAATGTTTTACTCATTACATGAAATCCGTGGTCAAAGAAACCTGCAGAACAAGCATATTAGCGGACAGAGTGAGCAGCCCGAATGGAAAAGTACTCGCTCTTTACGTTCGTTGTCAAAAAATACTCTTGCTTCGCGGTATTTTACGCCGATGACCCTTGTGTGTCTGTCGCGCTACTTGTTCTAATCTGGCTGTTGTGCGAATCTACCTGTTCTGCTGATGCTATAGCCAACTCTACAAGGTTTCTACAAAATATTCGAAGTTGTCAGCATTGTTGATAGCCCGACCTGGGGCAGCCTTGGCCAGCTCTTTACAAGCTCTTTGGCCATATACAATATCATCGGTGCTGACTATAGCATGGCTCAATTCATGCGTTAAAATTCCCATCTTGCTGTCGGCACCTACGGGTGCGGCCTCCTTGTAAAGTTGGCATAGGAAAATTTCACGAGTGTTTTTGAAAGTGTACGCATATGTTGTGGCATCACAATGAGGCCCATCAAAAGTATAGGTAATCGTCTCCTTTTCTAATACGCCTGCCATTTTTTGCAACTTTTTGACGACATTATTTAACTGATTTGCCCCAAACCAAAGCGTAACGCGCTGTTTCTTGGTCTGTGGGGCCGCAAGAAAAGATATTATGGTATTGTAGGCAGTATTATGAGCTGTTTTTGTACCGACTTGTAGGTATTTGGAGCCTCCCGTTACAACAGGCGGTACCGGTAAAATACTTTTCCGTGAGACCCCGCCACCAAATGTCCCATGAAAAATCCCATTTTGTTTAGTTTGCTTTCTACTTTCAAGAAAGCGTGCTTTTTGACCCAGGGTTCCCTTAGAGGAACTTCTTCCAACTATTTGGAAACTTACGGCAGGTGACGAAAGGTGACGAATTTTTCTCTTGACATCTGGTTTGCTGGCTGCGCTACCTACTACATATTCTAAATAAGTGTCTACAGCAATAGAATATACTCCAGCCTTGGTCAAATCGAAGGCATCGGACACTTGAAACGTCGATGAGAGAGTTTGTCCAGCTCTAACGGTCAAGAATTGATCGGGACCTGGAACACTGCGCTTCCTGTAAATACCATCGTATTCTAACTTCTTCCCGTTGCGAGTGACAGTCAGGCAATCAGAGGTCGCTCCTTCCAGTGGTGTACTCCATTTGAGAACAGAATAGTCCTGTTTGCCATTGTTCTTCAAGTGAAACCTGCACCCAATTGTGGCTTTGACAGTGTACGTTGGCGGACATTCAATTGAGGCAGCCAAAATGCTGCGTGAAATAAACAAACCATGATCAATTTAGTTATGGTGTTATGGTGCAATTACCTCGGGCAGGATTGGCAAGAACAAATACTCCTGAAAAACGTACCAAACTGTTACCGGAGATGCGTTGTAACCGTTTGACGTGAGATGAATAGCCCGCTTATGTTAAGAATTTGCACCGTTGTTATTTGATCTTTCAGCTCATCTTTCAGTAAAAGCAAATTTAAAAAAAAGTTGTAGTAACATGCCAACTGTGGACAAAGTTTACTAATAACGACATTTGATTACCAATCGTCTTCCAATTAAACTAATTTTAAGAATCCTAAGTACTTACCTGTTATCAGATGTATCGAATTCCACCTGTTCTTCTCCATATGTCATCCCCAATATCAGTAGAATCCACAAGACTGTCATTTTTGGTTACTATTGGAGGAATAATTTTTTGTAAGTAAGGCCAAAACTTATACCTCTTTACGTCAACAAGCAGGTCACACAGCATTCTTAATTGACACAAAATTATTTCTGATACAGAAACCCTCCAATATACTGCCTACTCTCTACGTTTCTCTCTCTCGAAGTTTTGCGTATGGTCCCCTTTATATGGAAAGAGGATTTTAGATGGTCCTAGAAGGTTTATTTGGTTTACATGCAAAAATGCGGCTTCTAAGAAGAACTTTTCATTTGCCTTACATGCATATTCAGACGTCAGGTAACGATGAAGTTCAGTGTACAACTCCTTCAAGTCTCAGTGTTTCTGATTCATTTCGTGCCTATGTTCTGGTTTGTTATTTACCTTGTGCCTTTTCTTTTGAGATTTACTTTGGGACAGGTCAATCAAAAATAGAACGTCCTGTTTGGATAGTATTGGGGCTCTGAGAAAATATTTATATCAAGTGTTTTGACGTTTGAGAAGACGTATTCTGCTACCTTTTGCGATAGCAAGCTCCCAGCGCAAGTCCGTAGAATAGGAATTGGTGGAGTTGTCAAACTTCTCCATTTCGAGATAGATAAGCGTAATTTTCTAGCCAAGAAATCGACAGTTGTCATGACACTTTTTTCACCCCATCGCTTTTAAGAACAGTTTGCTTGCTGGAAGCTATTCACACACCTGCTCTGACGCTTAAAACACGAGATATCGATGGCCGCATTTCCCGACAACGAAACAAGAACTCAAAATACCCGGGAAGGGTTTTGAAGAAATTTCAACTCTTTAGACGTATATTGGTTAACTGTTTTAAGTATCAGCTTTTATCTTCTCCGTCGAATTTAAAACTAGGAATTTAACGAATGGAAGGACCAAGATGGTTAATCATACGGTAATAGGCCCTTTGCAGCTAAGCCATCACGTGACCTACTTTTCATAAAATTATGGGCTATAACGTAACGAATGCCAGAAATTGAAAAAGCATGTCCAAAATATCAAAATGGCCAAGTTTGAGGCCCCCATCATTAAGGAATGAGATTTTATGACAGTCTGAATTTTTGAAAAAAATAAGATTTGTATGAATAAAGTTGTTGTACATAGCAAGGCCTTGCTCTCCAGCAACATTTTCCATACAAATCCTCTAAATTTTCTGAAAATTCAACTGGTCGTATAAACTTACTCTTCAATGCCAGGGGCCTCAAACTGGGCCATTTTGGTATTTTCGATGCGCTCTTTCCATTTCTGGTATTCTTTAAGTTTTAGCCCATAATATAAAAATTTTCTAGGAAAAATTTGGTCACGTGACCCCAGCTGCAAAGGGCCTATTGAGATTGTATCTCCAACATGTACAAAGCGCGGTTGCGGTTGTGATGTCATTGTTAAGACTTGATGAATTTTTAATCATTGAGGAACGACAACTGAAAAACCAAAATATTATTTAAGCTCAAAGCTTGCCAAACGTATTTATTCTACTTTACACCTGTTAGGATTTTTAATTAAGGACTGAAAAACGATAATTGCAAAAGCTAACAGGTTAATTAAGCTCAAAACTTCTCAAGGTCATTGCTTTTATTTTCCAGCTATTAGAATTTATAATGACTGATAATCGGAAAAGCTAAAAGCTAAAAGCCAAAGGAGTGATTAAGCTCGAATCATAGCAAAACTATAACTTTTGCTCTCCACCTGAAGATCTTCCCTTTTGTGATCGTATACGGAAGCACATATTTCATAGCAGAAATCAGTAGAGACTTGTAAAAGCATGGTTTCTTCGTTAATACTAGTAAATAAACGTGAGAAGTAACAATAA